AGACAGTATTTTTATTTGGAAGTGGAGTGGGTAGTATTTTAATATTATCAGAATTTTAAAATATGGTTAATTTGCTTTATTAAGAGTCATCAGAATGAAACCAAGTGTGCTTTGAGGGAACAAGAAAGGTACCCAGCTTTTCCTTTTTTGGGTTTACCTGCCATTTAGAAACTGAAAAGGGTAAAAAGGAAATAAGCCAGGTAAGATATAGGAATAATGAAGTGAAAAAAGAGTGGAAAACAGAAATGGTTTAAAAAGCAAAATATAATAAAAGCAAAAATAATTAATACAAAGCAGGTAAAGAAAAAGAAATATTACAACAGCTGTAAGGAAAAGTTAAAGGTCTTACTAGATCCAATTATTTTCTTGGTATCTGTACTCACATATAACATATCCAAAACAAAAACTTTTGATTAATCCATAACATAGTTTCAGTGTTCCACATTTTAATTAATGGCACCTTTAACTCCCCAGGTCCTGGTACCAGAAATGTGTTCTCGAACCATCTCATCCAGTCCATCATCAAGTTCTACCCTGTTTTCTGTATCTCCCTGGTAGCAGACGTAGTCTAAGCCTCCATTACCTAGACAGTAGTGGTGTTCTCTCTCTCTCTCTCTTTTTTAATATTTATTTATTTTTTAAAGTTTTTGGTGGACACAACATCTTTATTTTATTTTTATGTGGTACTGAGGATCGAACCCAGCACCCCGCGAATGCCAAGCGAGCACGCTACCACTAGAGCCACATCCCCAGCCCAGTAGTGGTGTTCTCTTAACTGATAGGCTTGGTGCCACTTTTGTGCCCTGACAGTCTGATCTCCCCATAGCAGCTATACTGATGTTTGTTTATGTCTTTTGTGGTACCAGGGATCAAACCCAAGGCCTCATGCATACTAAGCAAGTACTCCACCACTGAGTTACATTGCTATCCATTTTTTAAATTTTGAAATGATCTTGCTTAGTTGCCCTAGCTAGCCTCAAACTTGCAATCCTCCTGCTTCAGCCTTCTGAGTAGCTGAGATTCCAAATAGGTGCCACTAGACCCATTGTATAATGATCTTTTCCTAATATAAATTAGATAATATCCCTCACTGACCTAACCCACCTTTGGCTTCCCTTAGACTTGGAATATAATCTAAACAGTTCACTAAGGCCATAAAGCCTTCTTAGTCTGGCCCTATCTAACTCTAAACTTTGCTCACTATCCTTATCTATAAATGGGAATGATAATAGTACCTATCTTGTAGGAACATTGTAAGGAGTTGTTGCACATATAAAAATGACTTAAAATAATACCTGATATATAATAACTCATTAATGGGCTATGGTTCTACTACTATACTACATCTTCACTGCTTCTTTTAATCTTTCATCACACACTCACTGTTTCTTTACGTGAATGTTCTTTTTCTTAGACCTTGACAATTCTGGTTCCTTCTATTATTGAGGTCTAAAATCAAATATGTATTCCTAGAAAAGGCTTTCCCTGACCACTCGTCATTTTTACTTTGCTATCTTTATTGTAGTCATTAACTTCCTAAAATTTTTTCACAGTTTTTTACTTACTTTGTGTCTACCAACAGCTCCTAGACCACAAGCTGCTTAACTGCAGGGACCTAAAACAATGCCCATTGAAATATATTCTGAATGAATACATGAAACTCATAGCCCTCCTTTTTTCCCCCCTCTCTTTATACATTCGGTCCTCCTTAGAGAAGGCACACTCTTTACATATTACTGAAGACTGCCTATGGATACCTTTTTAAATTTTTTCATTTTATTATTTCACCATACTTTTTCTCTGAACTTGTTCAGTGACTTTTCTGCTCCTTGTTGGTATCTTGCTGAGATCACAGGAATAAATCAGTTTAAAAAAGAAGGTAAATAAAGCATAAGGGAAGTTTTTTGTAACCAATTCAGTTACTATTCCTAGGGGTTTTTTTTTAATCATGCAGATATTTCAATCAAAAACACCTTCTGATCCAAAACTAAAAAATATTTAAAATAGTGTGATCCTACTGGCATAAGACATGACATATTGGCCAGTAGAATAGAATAGAGAGCTCAGAAGTAAATCCTCATATATGTGGTCAGATGATTTTTTTTTTAGTTGTCTATGGTCACAATACTTTTATTTATTTTTATGTGGTGCTCAATATCAAATCCAGTGCCTCACATGTGCTTGCCAAGCGCTCCCTGCACTGAGCTACAACCACAGCCCCATCAGATGATTTTTGACAAATGTGCCAAAACCATTTAGTGAGGAACACAAATGATGTTGGGAAAACTTTGTATCCCCGTAACAAAAGAATAAGTTGGGTTGGAGATGTAGCTTTGTGGTAGACTGTGTGTTTTAGCATGTTCAAGGCTCTGGGTTTGATCCCCAGAACCACCAAAAGTGTGCGAGGAGATTATGTTGAACTACCTTACTCCATATACAATACCAACTCAATGGATCACAGACCTAAACATAAGAGCTAAAGTTATAAAAGAAAGCTGGGCATACCTGTAATCTGGGGACTTGAAGCTGAGACAGGAGGATCACAGGTTCAAGGCCATCCTGAACAACTTGGCAAGACCCTTCAACAATGTAGTGAGACTTTGTCTCAAAATAAATAAATGGACTAGGAATTTAGCTCAGTGGCAAAGTATTCCTGTGTTCAATCCCAGTACCCCCCAAAAAAAAATTCTTAGAAGAAAACAGAGGGGGAAAAGATTCCTGATAATTGGACTTGGCAATGATTTCTCAGATCTGACACCAAAACTCATAAAACAATAGAAAAAAGTAGATAAACTGGATTGAATCATAATTATAAAAATTTTGAACATTAAAGAATAGAATTATTAAATTATATATATTATTAATTATAAAAATTTTGTATATTAAAGAATAGAATTCAGCATTGAAAATATTTGCAAGTCATATTTATGATAAGGGATCACTGTCTAGAATCCATAAAGAACTTTATAATACAACAACAAAGCCTGATTTAAAAATGGGTAAATGACTCACCAGACATGGTGTATCCCTATAACCCCAGTGACTTGGGAGGCTAACTAGGGATGTAGCTGGTAAAGAACCCCTGGGTTCAGTTCCTAATACAGAAAAATAAAGGGAGATGGGTAGTTCTCCAAAGCAGATATATAAATGGCCAAGAATAACATGAAAATGGTCTCAAAATTACTAATCATTAGAAAAGTACAAATAAAAAAACATAGTGAGATACCATTTCCCAGTTCAAACCCATTTGTAATACTATTTTTAAAAAATAGTTTTGACAAATATGTGGGAAAATTAAGATCATTTATATACTACTGATAGGAATTTAAAATGGTGCAACTTCTGTGTAAAATAGCCTAATGGTTCCTCAAAAAAACTAAGCAGAAATGATAAATGATACAGAAGTTCTACTTCTGGATATATACCCCAAAGTATTAAAAGCTGGGACTAAACAGGTATCTGTACACTCATGTTTTTTAATTTAATTTTATTTTTTTGTAGTTGTAGATGGACAAAACAGCTTTGTTTTTTTTATTTTTATGTGGTGCTAAGGATTGAACCCAGTGCCTCACACATGCTAGGCAAGTGCTCTGCTACTGAGCTACAGCCCCAGCCCCCTTTTATACTTGTGTTAATGGAACCATAATTCACAGTAGCCAAAAGGTGAAAGCAAACCTAGTGTCTGGCAATAGATACACAAAATGTGGAATATGATAGAATAGTATTCAACTCTAAAATGGAAGTAAATTCTTAAACCTGCTACAATATGTATGAATCTCAAAGACATAATGCTAAGTAAAATAAGCAAGACACAAATGATAAATGTTAAGTACCAAGAACAGTCATCTTCACAGAGACAGAAGGTAGAATGCTGGTTGTCAAGGACTGGGAAAGGGAGGTATTGGGAAGTTACTGATATTTTGGTATAGATTTCAGTTTGGGAAAGTGGAAAAACCTTTGGAGATGGTTAGTAGGGATATTGGTCTTAACCATGTGAACAGGAACTTCATGCCACTGAGCTACAGTTTCATATGTGTGCTCACAGTTTTTTGTTGTTGCTCTTTTTTGGTACTAGGTTTGAACAAGGGCACTTAATGACTGAGCCACATTTCTGGCCCTTTTTATTTTTTGAGACAGGGTCTCACCAAGTTGTTTAGAGCTACCTAAGTTGCTGAGGATGGCTTTGAACTTGTGATCCTCCTGCCTCAGCCTCCCAAGTCACTGGGATTATAGGCATGTGCCACCACACTCAGCACACAATTTTTTTTAAAGACTGAACATATTTACAAAATGTAGATGACTTTCTCTGTAATGTAATTATTAACTCAGCATATCACAAGTTCCACAATATAACTGATAACCTCTGATCACTAAACAACAAAATTTCATTTTTTAAAGCTATCCTAGGGAGCTTTTACACTTCAGGTAACTATGACAGAAACTAGCCTCTTTTCTCCAGACTAATGCTTCCTGACCTCCATTTTGTAACACTTCAGATGTCTATATCAGTTAGAAATCATTTCCCTTGATATAATTGAACTTGTATAGCATTTATGTACATTGTTAAGTAAAAGATTATCTTTTTTGTTGTTGTTGTTCTGGGGAGTGAACTCAGGGGTGCTTTATCACTAAGCCTCAGTCCTTTTTATTTATTTACTTATTTTTTTGAGACAGAGTCTCACTAAATACCTGAGGCTCCAAATTTGTAATCCTCCTACTTAGCCTCCCAAAACAATGGGATTACAGGCATGTGCTACCACACCCTGCTAAAAGATTACTTTCTTCTACTATGTTTTATTTGGACAGTATTATCTTTTTTGTTAATTGCTCAAATTTTTTCTTTTTTTTTTTTGATTGCTCAAATCTTTTTTTTTTTTTTGCTTGGAAGAACTGCGTGTGTGTGTGTGTGTGTGTGTTATATGTGTGTGTAGTTATTAAAAGGCTAAAATCAAGAGAAACTATCATACAGTGAAGTTTGTCTCCCTCTCTTTTCTTTTTAGGATATTTTCTTTTCTGGATGTTGTTACCTTGTGTCGCTGTGCTCAGGTCTCCAGGGTAAGAATGGTGGACATGGTTACAGAGGGACCACTTTCTGACACTAAGGATGGCAGTCTCTGTAGTAGGCTGACCATTTATTTTAGGTGTTACTTGTATGTTGTTATGTTTGAAAGGGTGTTATTTCATTTATGGTTTACCTTCCCCATATAATTCAATAATAGAATTCTATATATACCACCTCTAACTGTTCTATAAATCTTATTTACATAACATAAACAGAATAGTTAAGTGAAAAGGCATTGAACATGCAAATTAAAAAGCTATGCTTGCTGGGTGCATTGGCGCATGCCTCTAATCCCAGTGGCTTGGGAGGCTGAGGCAGGAGGATTGCAAGTTCAAAGCCAGCCTTAACAAAAGTGAGGCACTAAGCAACTCGGTGAGACCCTGTCTCTAAATAAAATACAAATTAGGGCTGGGGATGTGGCTCAGTGGTTAAGTGCCCCTAAATTCAATCCCTGGGACAAAAAAAAAAAAGGCTATGCTTAACTTAATGAAATTTTCTTTATTGTTTTTCCTGTTCATTTGATACAAACACATATACATATAAAAGACTCTTAAACATCTAATTCTCATGCTATTTTATCCCCATGTTCTTTCCTTGAAAGATAAAATTTAAAAACAAAATGGTTGTAGAACAAATCACTTTTCCTAAAGTCAGTTTCTACATTATACTTGACTCTCGATTTTTGTCACTTAATATTGCTGTGACAAAATGGCCGTATACCCTAATATTATTGGCTACCACTGATATAAAGGGTATAATCTCTGATGTAGAAAAATTGCTTTATGAACTGCTTCTAACCACTTTTGTAATACAGTTATCTGATCAGTAATAAAATGAACATGTATTTGCAGTTGTCATCTTTTTATAAATTAGGCACCAGCTTTCTGTTTGTTCATTCATTTAACAAATATTTACTGAGAGCCCACTGTTTGCCAGGTACTGATATGTAATATGGCTGTACCATAAAGTATTATGTTTATCTGTGTAGGTGGGCCCAGATGTCCCTTCATACTACTAGCACCACACATAAATCTTAATATAGAGAATTTCCCCTTATTCTAACTTTAATTTCTGCATCCTGAAAGCCATACTTAATGTCTGTCAGCCATTTTGGAAATTAACAATGGTGTTTCAGTGATTTCTCTTTTGACATTTTTATCTCCATTAGTTGTGTGGTCCCTTTAGACATGGCCACTTACAAGTGAATGGATTTTCCTTTCTGATTCCATTGTGAAGGTGACAAAACACCCAGAAACAAAATTCCCAGATCAGTGTCTAAACCTGTTTAGTTACACAGCCTCACCCTAGGAGTGTTGACTTAAATGAGTTTTCAGTTATTGTTTTCATTTGCAGGTTCCTCTTCCTTCTTAATATGTGTTAACTTTAAGGGAAGGAAGTCACAATGTCACTTTTCATTAAATCTGGAAAATTTTATATTAGTAGTTGTTTTATTGTTCTCTTTCTTTCCCACCCCTACTGTGTTTTGAACCCAGGGGTGTTTTTACCACTGAGCTACATTCCCATCCCCCCCCCTTTTTTTTTAACAGGGTCATGCTAAGTCTGGCCTCAAACTTGTGATTCTCTTGCTTTAGCCTCCCAAGTCATTAGAATTAACAGGGATGTGCTACCATACTTGGCATATTCTTTTTGTGTGTGTGTGCTTTGGATTGAATCCAGGAGCACTTTGCCACTGAACAACATCCTCAGCCATTTTTCCTTTTGAGACAGGGTCTCACCAAACTGCTGAGGGTCTCACTAAATTATTGTGTCTGGCTGGGCGTGGTGGCGCATGCCTGTAATACCAGCGGCTTATGAGGCAGGAGGATCATGAGTTCAAAGCCAGCCTCAGCAAAAAGCAAGGCACTAATTCGCAGCCTCCCAAGTCCCAGGAATTATACGTATGGACCACACTGCACCAGGTTTATATTCCATTGTTCTCTATGCTTGAAGTTTTTTTTGTTTTCTTTTTTTCCCAGTGCAGACTCTAGAGAGGAATTTGTCATTTATAATTTTAGTCTGAATTCTGCATGTTTTCTGCTTGCTGAAGAACATAATAGAAGGAAATAAGAAATAGCACATCAATCAGAGATTCATTTAGCCCAAGAATTTATTAAACATATAACCTTTAAATGTTTTATTGGTTGCCTCCCCTGGCTAACCACTTAAGCCACTGGAAAAATGAAGCCATTAAAAGAAAAGTAACATTAAACTTCTGAGAAAACTGCAGCTATTTCTATAATAACTCCTTGCTTACCCTCATACCCCTGACATTCTTCTTATTGATTATGTGACAGTTATCCTAAGGCTTATAAGTATATCCAGAAATTCTTTTTTAAAAATTTCAGAGAAATAGCTATAAGTATAATCAATATTAAATCCCTTTTAAATTTTATTAAAGATAAGACTCATAACTTTATGACTCTAATATTAAAACTTTTGTTTATTTTGTTTTGTTTTGTTTTTGTTTTGCAGTGCTGGGGATCAAACCTAAGGCCTTGCACATGCTGGGCAAGTGTTCTACCATTGAGCTACACCACCAGTCCAATACTTTTATTTTTTAAATTTAACAGGGAAAGTTTTTAAAGGAAAATATAGAATGAGCGACAACAAATTAACTCCCACTGGACTCATTTCTCCCTTTCTTACCTCCCTTTTCTTGTTTAAGATGTATGAAAATCTTAAACTTTCCATTGAAGGTGAATGAGGTGGCCTATGCCTGAAATCACAGGGACTAAAGAGCCTAAGGCAGGAATATCACAAGTTCAAGAGCATCTTGGGCAATTTAATAAGGCCTTGTCTGAAAATAAAAAATTGTTGGGGTTGTGGCTCAGTGATAGTATACCCCTGGGTTTAGTCTCCAGTACTGCAAAAATTAAAGAATAAATAATTTAAAAAATAAATAAAATTACCACCGAATCAAGTTGGGGATAGAATGATGATTAATTGAAAAACCTACAAACCTGAGTAAATTGGTAATGAGGAAAACATGAAATACAGAGAAATTATACAAAAAATATATAATTTTCAAGTCCCAAATCACCATGTCACAATTTCATATCTAACCAAGTGATACTATAGATAATAGATATGTGTTAAACAGAGCAGCATTTGGTGTACTGTCCCATTCCGTTGGTTTCACATCTTGTTTCCAATTTAGGGATGGAGCTAAGACTTGTTCTTCATCACCTAAAATTCTGTCTCATTTTGAGATTAGAAATTGGAATCTTGGGCTAGGGATATAGCTCAGTTGGTATGGTGCTTGCCTTGCATGCACAAGACCCTGGGTTCAATTCCCAGCAAAACACACACACACACACACACACACCCCTGGGTTCAATTCCCAGCAAAACACACACACACACACAAATAAATAAATAAATGTGAAATTGGAATCTTGCAGTTTCAAAATACCTTCTGGCTGTGATATTTATCACAACCTGCTGTTTCCCCAATTTCCCTAATTTAAGATATTTTGTAGCTGTTAGTTTCTATACCTACTCATTTTATGAGATAATCTCATTTGAGAGTAAAGCATGGATCCAGGATTAAGGCACACCTGTTGGGAGTAGTGATAGAAGCTAAGGAAATTTTTTGATCTATTTCAGTCATTAGTTGGTTGAATTGTAAATTTGAATATTGTTTTCTTTTCATTTTAAATTTTGCTTATTTCTTTTCTTCAAAATAGGCCTGGAATGTTCTGGCTTTGGATGGCAGTAACTGGCAACGAATTGACCTGTTTGATTTCCAGAGAGATATTGAGGTATAATTTTGTGGTGTGTGGCCCCAATTCTCTTGCAAGTAATTACAACATGGGACAAGTTAGCCTCAGCCATATAAATCTTGTTTTCCCTCAAGAGAGGAACTATTGTTTTCAGTACATCTAAACTTCATGGTAGCCTCCAAAGTTCCCAAGAGTTTATTGAATTTTTGAAAATAAGTGGATTATTTCACTGAAGTAATACTAAATTACCTAGAAAAATATTAGTCCTGAAAAGGACTGAAAAATTTTTGGTTTTGCAGTAGAAATGTGAACTTGTATTTTGTGTTTGCTTGTTTTAAAGAAGTCATTTTTGTATTTGTTTATTGAAGAACAAGTACAATTATAACTTATTGGGGGGGTAATATTTGCATTTTTTTTTTTCATTTTACTTTTGTGGTACTTGGAATAAAACCCAGGGATGCTCTATTGCTAAGCTATTATATTTTATTTTTTATTTTGCAGTCTGGCCTCAAATTTGTGATCCTCCTTCCCCAGCCTCCTAAGTAGTTGGGATTATAAGTCTAAGCCACCACACACCCAGCTACATATATTTTTTTTGGAGGGGGGTATGGGGATTGAACCCTGGGGTAATTCACCACTGAGCTATGTGGGGACATAGCCCTTTTTATTGTTTATTTTGAGACAGGGTCTCACTAAGTTGCTTAAGTCCTTGTAAGCTGCTAAGGCTGGCTTTTATTTTATTTTTTATTTTTTTTCTTTTGGTACTGGGGATGGAACCCAGGGGCACTTAACCACTGAGCCACATCCCCAGCCCTTTTTTATATTTTATTTAGAGACAGTCTTGTCGAGGTGCTTAGGGCCTCACTAAGTGCTAAGGCTGGCTTTGAACCTGTGATCCTCCTGCATCAGCCACCTAAGCTTCTAGATTACAGGCATGTACCACTTTGCCTGGCTATATTATACTTCAGATGTGCATTTTGGCCCTTGGTGAATCAAAGGTAATAGTTTTTGTGGAGAATGTAAAATGAATTAAACCAGTGTCATTCATTAAATTGTTTTTGTTAGAAACAGTTTGTCTCCTTGCTCATCCCCTACCCACCTATTTCACCTTTTAGTATAACCTTTTATCTTTAAAATAGAAAACATTATGACTTGAGTTTGAATTACTTTAGCTGAATTTAAAGCAGTCCTTAGTTCTCTCTTCAGAAGAGTGAACATAAGAGATAACTCATAGTGTTAAGAAGATTGAGAATCTCTTCCCTTCTCTTTCTCCACTTGCCTCTCCTTCTCTCTCTCTCTCTCTCTCTCTCTGCCTGTCCCCCCCCCCCCTTTCTCCTTTAAATTTCCAGCAGAAACAAATTCTCTTAAGGGCCCACTTGAAGAATTTTTAAAAACCTTATATGAACCTTCCATTATCTTCACAAGATGTTTTTAAAATAATAACTACAAACATTATATTGAATTGTTTTCCACAATTCTTTGATCTTCATGGATGTTAAGATATTTAAAGCAGCACAGTTCACAAAATCATTTACCAACCTTTTAAGTGTTCTTTGAGTCTTGCTATATGCAGAGTGCTATAGTAAATATTTTGGAAAGTATACAAAGATAAATGTAGTTGTTGTCCTTTAGTGGCTATGATTTAACCCAAGGGGGCAGTATACATGCATATAGTGCCATAAAGACTCAATATAGAATATTTTACAAATTGAACAAATAAATAAGAATATAAAGTAAAGTTCAGGCATGTTTTAAGTAGATGGGCTAATCAGGAAAGCATTCCCAAAGGAAGTTGAAATTTTCCTACTTAATTAGGTCTTTGAAACAAGTAGAAACCTTTTCTCTCTGTCCATAAATTGTCAAAAATGAAGATGTATTCTTTTCAAAAGCAATCAGATTGGTCATCTTTTTGTTTACCTGTTTCTTTTTATAGGGTCGAGTAGTGGAGAATATTTCAAAACGATGTGGGGGCTTTTTACGAAAGTTAAGTCTTCGTGGGTGTCTTGGAGTAGGAGACAATGCATTAAGGTAAAAACATAACTGTTAAAAAAAAAAGTAACTGCTATTAATCTCTTTGATTCAAGTAAAGATCAGCACCATCTCACTTTGAAAAAGCTGAGGAATTTTTTAAATCCCTAAACGTTGAAAATACATCACGTATATATTATTTATAGCACAGAAATGTCAGGTACAATGGGTATGGAGGCACACACACACCTATAATCTCCGTGACTTGGGAGGCTGAGGAAGCAGAATTACAAGTTCAAAGCCAGCCTCAGCAACTTAGTGATACCGTAACTAATTTAGACCCTTTCTCAAAATAAAAAGTACAAAATGGCTGGGGATGTGGCTCAATGGTTAATTGTCCCTGGGTTCAATCCCTGGTAACAAAACCAAAACAAACAAAAATAACAGGAAATAGGAAATATTATTTTAAAATGGTAGATTTCTCATCACAAATGATCCTTTTGGAAACTTGAGAAAATGTATTTTGTTATTTGAATTTTTATTTACTCAAAGATAGGATAAAATTATCTTTGGTGACTTGTGTTTAAGAATTGATGGTTCAGCCAGGGGTAGTGAGACATGCCTATCATCCCAGAGACTTGGGAGGCTGAGGCAGAAGGATCCTAAGTTTGAAGCCAGACCCAGCAACATAGCAAGAACCTCAGCAATTTGGTGAGAACCTGTCTCAAAATAAAAAGAACTGGAAATTTAGCTACGTGGTAAAGTGCCCCAGGGTTCAATCCCCAAGTACAAAAAAAGAATTTATGGTTTGGAAAAAAAAACTTATTTACTTATACTTATCAACTACTTTGTATTATACTCAACTGTTCCTATTCACAATACTCTGACAGTAGATGTATAGCTTTTTTCCCTCCACCCTACAACCAATCCTTTGTTTTTCTAGACAACAACTGGATATTGTAATTTAGTTAAATACTAAACCTAACTATCCAGAATTAGCTCAGATCCTACAAGCCAAGGACTTAGTGCAAAGGGCTGCTTCTATTTCAGATACAAGTTGCAAGCCCCATGTTGCTGTGTACTTCTGATCAATGGGCTATAAATCAGGAATTACCATGACCCCCCTCCATGTTTGGTAATTTGCTAGAATGATCCATACAACTCAGATAGGTGCTTTAGTTATTATTACCATTGTAAAGAATACAGATGAACAGCCAGTTGAAGAGGTTCATGGGACAAGATTTAGAAGGTTCCCAAGCACAGGAACTTCTGTCCCTGTAGTTAAGACATAAACCAGCACGTGATTTACCAACCCAGAAATTCTCTAATCCCCATTATTTAGGGGTTTTCATGAGGCTGTGTTATTGTAGTTATAGTTGGAAGACCAAATATTATATATATAAAAGATGTTCCTGTCACTCATTACTCAGAAAATTATAAGGGTTTTAGGAGTTCTATGCCCGGAAGAAGGGATGAAGACCAAATATTAATTTCTCATATCATAGTATAACAGGTACCAGCAACCAATATTACCAATAACAATATCTTATTTTTTTTTTATATTTCGCATTTTGCCCATTTCATTTGAAACTTGTCACTTTTTTTTTTTCTTCCCATAAAGGACCTTTGCTCAGAACTGTAGGAACATTGAAGTGTTAAATCTAAATGGGTGTACAAAGACTACAGACGCGTAAGTATTCTGTGTTTTAGAATGTTATGTCGTAGTCCATGTCTGGGCTATATTAGTCTAACCCATGGTGTCCCACCATTTCATTCATGGAACACCTAAAAAACTTTAAGTTGAGGGCTGGGGATGTGACTCAAGCGGTAGTGCGCTCGCCTGGCATGCGTGCGGCCCAGGTTCGATCCTCAGCACCACATACAAAAACCAAAGATGTTGTGTCCGCCTAAAACTAAAATATAAATGTTAAAATTCTCTCTCTCTCTCTCTCTCTCTCTCTCTCTCTCTCTCTCTCTCTCTCTCAATAAATAAATAAAAACTTAAGTTGAGAATATAATAACCTTGAAATAAACAAATGTATTTTTATAATATTTATTTTTTTAGGTGTAGATGGGCACAACACAATGCCTTTATTTTTATGTGGTGCTGAGAATCGAACCTGGGTCCCGCCCATGCTAGGAGAGCACTCTACCGTTGAGCCACAGTCCCAGCCCAACAAATGTATTTTTTTAGAGTTCTATTCTTTTGAAAAAAGTAATAAGTGAATTAGTTATAATATTCATTAGTATTAATATTGTTAATGATAATAAATTATATAATAAGCTCTAGATAATTATTTCCAATTTAATGCACCTATGTCAGTTTCACTGAAAATTTTGCATAACTGAAAACTTGGGACTTAATGGGTAAATGAACACACAACAAATGTATTTAGCAACTTTCTTGGTTGTAAAATTCTGTCTTTGATATTTAAAGTAAGACTTAAAAATTTATAGGTGGGCTGGGAAGTTAGCTCAGTATGTGGGGGGGCCCTAATTTGGTACTAAGCACCACAAAAGAAAAAATCATAATCAGTGTTTATGCAGAAGGATAATAATTAAAGACCACAGTGAGCAGATAATTCTATGAAAAGATTAAACTCTTCAACATAGGACTGAACAGTTTAATTAGTACTGATAGCAGTTTTTAATGTAGAAAATAGAGGGAGGATAGAACTCAGTGATAGCACTTCTTGCCTAATATGCATGAAGCCCTGGGTTCCATCCCTAGCAAAAGAGAGAATTCTTCTAGTAAATATTATATCTGTAGATTAATTTGGAAGCCTTTAATAGGAGAAACAGGGGGTTAGGGTGGAGTTCAGGGCCAGAGTGCTTGCCTAGCATGCATGAAGCACTGGGTTTGATCCTCAACACCACATAAAAATAAACAAATAAAATAAATGTATGCTGTCCATCTACAACTATAAAAATTTTTAAAAAATAGGATAAATAGGAGAAACAGTTTACTAACTCCTTACCCCCACTATTCCTTTGTATGATAAGTTATAACCATAATATATAATATATATGTACAAGGCTATTCATTTTTACTGTTTGTAATAATGAATACTGCTATTTTTTTTTTTTTTAAGAACTGGGATGTTTAACCACTGAGCTACAACCCCATTACTGCTAATTTTTATAACAGCAAAAGACAGGAAATTGCCGGGCGCAGTGACTCACACCTGTAATCCCAGCAGCTCGGGAGACTGAGGCAGGAGGATTGAGAGTTCAAAGCCAGCCTCAGCAAAAGCAAGACTCTGAGCAACTCAGCGAGACCCTGTCTCTAAATAAAATACAAAATAGGGCTGAGAATGCGGCTCAGTAGTTGAGTGCCCCTTAAAAGTTCAGTCCCTGATACCCCTTCTTCCCCCAAAAAAGGAAACCATCCTGTGTCTTATCAGAAGAGGATTAGTTAAATAAAAGTGATGAAGAAAATCTCTAGTTCTCTGGTGTGAGTTCCAAGACCTACTGTTAAATGAAAGTGAACAGCAGAGGACTTTGTATAAAATGATACCTTTTAAAAGGGCAAGAGGACTTGGTACAAAATATATCAATATTCATATTTTCAAAAAAGAAAAATAGAAATTTCAACCAAAAACTAATAAAATGGAGCAAGGTGCAGTGATGTGTGCTTGTCATCCCAGCTGCTGGGGAGGCCAAGGCATGAATATCACAAGTTAAAGGCTAGATTCAACAGTTTAGTGACACCCTAAGCAACTTAGTGGTATCCCGTCTCAAAATAAAAAAGACAAGGGCTGGGGATATAGCTCAGTTGGTAGAATGCTTACTTCACATGCATAGGGCCCCTGGGTTTAATCTCCAGAACCAGGAAAATAAATATATACATACATACATACATACATACATACATACATACATACTATACACCTATAATCCCAGTGACTTGGGAGGCTGAGATAGGAGGGTGGTGAGTTCAAAGTCAGCCTCAACAACCACCAGGCACTGAGCAACTCAATGAGACCCTGTCTCTAAATAAAATACAAAATAGGGTTGGGGATGTGGCTCAGTGGTTGAGTGCCCCTGAATTCAATCATGGTAAAAACAATTCCAAAAGCAATTCCCTCAACCCAATCAAAAGCATCTATGAAAAACCCACCAGTACCAAATAAATAAATAAAATTATAATGGCTGAGGATGTGGCTCAATGTAACGTTCCCCTAGGTTCAATTCCCAGTACCACCCCTCCAAAAAAAAGACAAACTCTAAAGCAGAAATGAAGTTGAAGATTAAATACTTTACCCAAAAAATTATGATAGGATATCATGAATAATAATCAGGCAATACTGATAAAATGAACAAAATTCCTGGAAGGCTTAATTTGCCAAAACTGGCTCAAGAAAAAAATGCATATTCTGAATAGGCCTATAATATATACATTCAGTGAGTAATTTAAAACTGTCCTAACAAACAAGCACGCAGACCTAAATGATTCTACTAGTGAATTTCATCAACTCTTGTGTGTGTGAGATACTAGAGTTTGAACCTGGGGGTACTCTATCACTGAGCAACATCTTCACATCTCAGGCCCTTTTTATTTTTTATTTTGAGGTAGAGTCCCTTTAAGTTGGTCAGGCTGGGTTAGAAATTGCCATCCTTCTACCTTAGCCTCCTGAGTTGCTGAGATTACAGTGTCCAGCTTTCCCCTCTTTTTTAAATTAGTATATTGAGGATTGGCTTTTCTTTAAACAGCTGATGGGCCAGGTACATTGGTGCACGGCTGTATTCCAACTACTTGGGAGACTGAAGTCAGGAGGATCGCAAGTTCAAGGCTAGCCTCAGCAACTTAACAAGGCCCTAAGAAACTTAGCAAAACCCTGTCTCAGCACTCAGGAGGCTGAGGCAGGAGGATCACAAGTTTGAATACAGCTTCAGCAATTTAGTGAGACTAAGCAATTAAGTGAGAATCGGTCTCAAAATAAAAAAATTAGAAAGGGCTTTTAAGTTGTTGATGGACCTTGATTTTATTTATTTATTTATTTATTTATGTGTGGTGCTGAGGGTCAAACCCAGTGCCTCACACACACTGAGCAAGCACTCTGCCACTGAGCCACAACCCCAGCCCCCACAAAAAAAAGGATTTTAGATTGTAACTAAGTGGAATTTATCCCAGAAATAGGACCAAATAAGTAAATATTTTAGTCTTCCTGACCCGTATAGTATGTTATAACTATGTCAGATACAGTTATAAAATCAGCCATAGACAGATAGTACATAAATAAGCACAGCTATGTGTTCAAAAAAAAAAAAAAAAAAAAACGTTTTCTGGGTTTTTTTTCTTTATCTTTTTTTTTTTGTCTTTTCTTTTTTGGAACTGAGGATTTAACCCAGGGTTTTGTGAATGGGAGGCAAATACTTTGCCACTGAGCTACATTCCAGCCCTATTGACTTTTTTTCAACCTCTTAAAAGTGTAAGAACCATTCGTGGTTTGTGAGTCATATAAAAATAGGCTTCAGGAATGATTTGGCCATAGTTGAGCTATAGTTTTATCACCTCTGGAGTAAAAGAGACAAAACAACATGATCATCTTTGTGTTTGATGGCCTCCAAATAATCCACACTTCCTGATGTTTAAACCATTGTCTAATCATTTCCCCTTGAGAGTTAACTCACCATAGTGACTCATTTCTAACAATAGAATACTGCAAGAGAGATTGGATGGTACTTTTCAGATTAGGATACAAAAAGATTACTATCCTACTCTGCTTTCTCTTGGGGTTCTGGCTTTCAGGGAAGCAAGCTGCCCTGTTATGGTACCTCTGTGGAGAGGCCTACGTGAATAGAAACTGATGTTTCCAGGTAATAGTTAGCAAGAACCTGAAATCTACCAAAAAATCAAGAATAAGCCTTGATTGGATCTCCTGAGATCTGCTAAAAAAAAAAAAAAACACCTAAATGAGCTTAGCAAGGGATCTAAACCCCGTTAACCTTTGAGATGATCACATCCAATGTCTACACCTTGATTGTGGTCTTGTCAGAAACCCTAAATCAAATGAACCCTGCTTAGCTACCTTTAGTTCTGACCACAAAAACTGAAATAATACACTGTCATCTTAAGTTGAGTTGTTGTAGGGTAGTTGACTACACAAAATAGATAACTAATTTATTATTAGGTATAGAAAGTATATTACAATATCTAACGTCCATTCATGGTAAAAACAATTCCAAAGAAATTCCCTCAACCCCATCAAAAGCATTTATGAAAAACCCTCTTCTGGGGCTTGGGATATAGCTCAGTTGGTACAGAGTGTTTGCCTCACATGCACAAGGCTCTGGGGTAAATCCCTCGCACCCCCCCCCCCACACACACACACACACACAAACCACTTCTAAAAATGACTGAATTCTTTCTTACTAAGGTCAAGAACAATTACTACACTTTTTTTTGGTGCTGGGGATTGAACTACATACATCCCCAGCCCAACCACGCTTTCTATTTCACATTGTATTAGAGGATCTAGCCAATACAGTAAGTTTTTTTAATGCATATTGGTAGGAAAGAATAGAATGAACCTTTATTTGTATATAACATAATTTATAATATTGTATATAAAAAAAACATGAGGAGGTCTGGGGCTATAGCTCAGTGGCAAAGCACTTGCCTAGCATGCATGAGGCACTAGATTCAATTCTCAGCACCACATAACAGCTAACAACAAAAAAAATAAAGGCATTCTGTCCATCTACAACTACAAAAAAAATTTTTTTTAAATCATGAGGAAACTACCAAAAGATGCTTTAATTCATAAATAAGATAACAAGCTCATTAGATATAAGACAATATACCCCAAAAAAAGTCTCTATACATTAGCATCAAGCAATCCAAACATGAAATTAAGAATTCCTGGGCTGGGGTTGTGGCTCAGTGGTAGAGCTCGCCTAGCATATGTGAGGCCCTGGGTTCGATCCTCAGCACCACATAAAAACAAATAAACAAAATAAAGGTATTGTGTACAACTAAAAAAATAAATAAATATTTAAAAAAAGAATTCCATTGCCAGGTGTGGTGGTATATGCCTGTAATCCCAGTGACTTAGGGGACTGAAGCAGTAGGATCACAAGTTTGATACCAGCAATTGAGACCCTGTCTCAAAATGAAAAATAAAAAAGGATGGGAATGTAGGTCAGTGGTAGAGCGCCCCTGGCTTGGATCCTAGTGCCAAATAAAGAGAAAGGAAGAATAAAAAAGTACTAAAATATTTACAGATAAAATAATATATCCAGGATTTACTTTAAAATACTGGAGGGAAAAAAAAAAGGAGGGGAAATTGGAGCTGGGGCTGTAACACAGTGGTAGAGTGCCTGCCTCGTCCCTGTGAGGCACTGGGTTCGATCCTCAGCACCACATAAAAATGGATAAAGATAGTGTGTGCATCTAAAAAAAAATTTTTTTTTAAAGGAGGGAGAATAATAAAATAAAAATGATTAAAAATAATTTTTAATGTTAAAAAGGCCTGGGGATGTAGCTTAGTGTTAGAGGGCTGCCAAGCGGGCATGAGGCGCCGGATTTAATCTAGCACTGCTAAACATCATCATAATTCACAAAAGGTAATAAGTAGCAGTATTACATAACTTCTTTCAGCCCAATATAATTCATCTATGTATACCTTGCAAAATCCACTTCTTTCCTTACTGCCATGTAAAAGGTTATCTCAAGTAGATAGTTTAAGATGTTTAAGTAAATGTTTTAAGTCTGTTAAAAAGCAGAAGCAAAGATTTGGTCCTCATATTTTACCATATATAGCAAAAACTTATTAGCATTCCTAGTGTTCCTGGATCTGAAGAGTACACATAGATCACTTACAGTTCACATAAGTAATTTGCTGTTAATAGCTATTAATAGCTATTAATAATAGCTGTTAATAGCTATTAATATTTCCAAATGTAAATGAAGCACCATCTTCCTCTGATACAAATTCTCGTATATAGTATTGCCATTCTTTGTGAATGGTATCTGCCTCTTCCGTGGAAAGCTCCCAAAATTTATGGCTGCTTTTTGGAAGGTATGCAAATTTTACAGTTCTGATATAATTTATATATCATATATACACATGCATGTGTATACACACACATATTTACTGAGAAACATGTATGATATAGTAAGATGTGTTCGTATTTATTCATTATTTTCTCCTCTCTCCATTTTCAGTACATGTACTAGCCTTAGCAAGTTCTGTTCCAAACTCAGGCATCTTGACTTGGCTTCCTGTACATCAATAACAAACATGTCTCTCAAAGCTCTGAGGTAAATTTCTTATACATAAGCATGTCCATTAATAATAATTTCTTAAAAATAACTGAAATGAATTTTGAATTGAAGGTAACTATGTTTTATTCATATATACTATAGTTCTAAATAGGCCTTTTATTTTACCACTTTTCCCAAATTATAATTACAGGAGCTATTCAAGTGAAATGACTAGGGGTAACTAGGATTTCTAAACAGAGGAGCACAGTATAGTTTATACATGAATTATTAGATTTTTATAAAGAATTACTTTCAAAAAAAGAAAAGAAAATGGCCTGTTATTTTAGCTTAATGTTTAAAATATGGTTCTAGAGATAGGATTATTTTCCAGGTACTTTGTTTGAACACAGTCCTTCTGAGCTTTTCCTCATTATCTCATAGCATTGTTATTAGGATTCAACAAGATTATATTAAGCAGAACTATAAAAAGTTGTGCTGATGATAGTCAACAGTTTCTATGTTATAAAAATAACTTCAAGGCAGGCATGGTGGTGTACACCTATAGTCACAGCTACTTAGGAGGCTGAGGCAGGATCATAGCAAGTTCAAAGTCAGAGTGGGCAACTTTGTAAGACCCTGTCTTCAAAATAAGATGAGCTAGTCCCAGGTGCTATAGCACATACCTATAATCCCAGCTACTTAGGAAGCTAAGGCAGGAGGATTGCAAGATGGAGGACAGGCTTAGCAACTTAGTGAGACTCTGTCTCAAAATAGAAAAATTAAGAGGACTAGGGGTATAGCTCACAGGTAGAGTGTCCCTGAGTTAAATTTCTAGTGTAGTAAGTTGATGATAGGAGTGAGTACCTCAGTTTTGGAAGAACATAGAAAGAGCTGTGGCTTATCTTGGACCAAGAGGTTTAGCTTCCTAAAGTGACTTGTATGGAGTCAAATTATTAATGTTGAAAATGAACTCAAACCTGGATCTCCTGTCTTTATTTTCTGCATCTTTTTGGTAGGCAGGAGTATTTAAAAGATAATGGGCACGACTTGGTGGTAGAACACTTATGTAGCTTGTGTGAAGCCCTGGGTTCAATCCCTAGCATGGGGGCGGTGGGGGAGTGAGGGGTCCGGAAGGAGACAAACTTCTGTAAAAGTTAGGTGGTGTTCAGTGTTTCTGAAGAATAATTTCAATTTTTTCATGCTCCAAATATGAAACTAAACTGATACAAGTGGAAGAATCACAGAAATTCAAAACAGTATACCCTAACTTTAGTCTGCAGAAACAATATTGTAGAAATGTCCCAAATAAGGAAATATACAGAGCCTTTGTAATTATTTTTAACTAAAAGTTTAAAAGTTCTCATTAATAATTGATGGAGAATCTGGGTTTGAATCTGAACTTTTAATTACTCTATAAATTTGAGGGCTGGGGATGTGGCTCAAGCGGTAGCGTGCTCGCCTGGCATGCGTGCGGCCTGGGTTCGATCCTCAGCACCACATACAAACAAAGATGTTGTGTCCGCAAAAAGCTTATAAATAAATAAATTAATTAAAATTCTCTCTCTCTTTAAAAAAAAAATAAATAAATTTGAACAAGTTAATTTCCATATCCTATCTATAGTTGAAAAACTATACTGTGCTTTGTAGTTGTTTAAGCTGGATTTGAGATGGCCCTGCTGGTGGTAAAGTCCCACATGAACATTGCAAAAGTGAGACCAGTATCTTTGAAATTGGATGTAGTGATATGCTTGTCTCATTTTGTTTTATCCTAAGTGAGGGGTGTCCACTGTTGGAGCAGTTGAACATTTCCTGGTGTGATCAAGTAACCAAGGATGGCATTCAAGCACTAGTAAGAGGCTGTGGGGGTCTCAAGGCCTTATTCTTAAAAGGCTGCACACAGGTAATACTCCATGTAATGCTTATGAAAATCAGAGGAACCATGAGCTTTTTGTAGTCATCACCAAGATGTTTGTCTGGAGGGAAATGTGAGTTGTGTGTATTTTTTTTTGTATATATATATATATATATATATATATATACATATATATATTTTTAGTTGTCGATGGACCTTTATTTTATTTACTTATTTTTATGTGGTGCTAAGAATTGATCCCAGTGCCTCACACATGCCAGGCAAGCGCTCTAACACTGAGCCACAACCCCAGCCCCAGTTGTGTGTATTTTTGACCCAAAGATATTTGCTTATCAAGCATAAAGTGTTTTCCTTAGAATCAACGAATGAGAGGATTTAACATCTGACCAAAGATAAATTTCGAGAAGGACAGAGTGGGGTGGCAAAGTAACACTGAAGGAATGTATGCCATAGGCAAGAAGGGTTTCATGCAGCTTAACCTGTACCAAAAAGAAAGTTTCTTTACTGCCGATACTTCAAACTGGATAGGCAAATAAGACAGTCCTGGAAATTTTCTCTTGTTTAATCATCAGGAGTTGTTTTTAAATATGCCAAGTATGCAGTAACCTGTGTTTTATAGTATTGACACTTATCCTCCCAGTCACATCACAAATCCAACATATTTTGTCATTAAAAATTTTGTAGTCTTGGGGCTGTGAATGTAGTTCAGTGGCAGCTTGCTTGCCTCGCATGCATAAGGCTCTGGGTTCAATCCCCAGTACCACCAAAAGGAAAAAAAAAAAAAGTACAGCCTTGCTAGGCATAGTGGCACTCAGCTGTAATCCCAGCTACTTGGGAGGCTAAGACAGGAGAAGCTGAAAATTTGAGGCCAGCCTAGGCAATTTAGTGAGACCCTGTCTCAAAAGAAAAATGAAAAAGGCAGGTGATAAGGTGATATAACTCAGTGGGTACAGTGCCCCAGGGTTTTTTGCCCAATACCACCCCCCCAAAAAAAAAAAACTTTTTAAAAACAATCTTATTTTTTCACAGTGAGGAAAGGAATTGACCAAATAGCACCTAATGATCAAGAGTGAATTTAAGCCAGGTTTGGTGGCACATGCCTGTAATCCCAGCTGCTTGGGAGGCTGAGGCAGGAAAATAAAGTTTGAGACCTTGTTTCAAAAGGGAAAGAAAAAAGTGGATTTATATGATTGATAAAGTAAGGCTAGTCTCTATCTTATTTTATTAATGGTATGAAATCCATACTTTGGATTCCATTAAAAATTCCCTCATTCTCTTACTATGATAGGAAGAATTTTGTTGTTTGAAATTGAGCTTTGGATGTATGGCTGCCTTAAAACAACAGCTTGAGCTTCTAGTTATTTATGGAATCCTGAAAAATATTGATTGGAATGCATCATTATGATCAATTACTTACCATCTGTTCTCAGCACTGTAAGCATGCCACTGATCTTCCAGCAACAGATAAACACGATGGATTCCTTTCTTGGCTCTCTGTCCCCAAAATTTGTTTTAAAAAAATCTTCATAGGTGGTATTGAAGTGTGAAAATCATTTTAGCTTAATAATCCCTCTGCAAAGTACTATGAAGTATATTTAACTTATCAGAAGTAAAATCCATAAATACTAAGCAATGTTTATGTCATCTTTTCCTTGGTTTGATGATAACAACATGAATTTGATGTGGTAGGAACTGATTTTTTAAAATACTGATAACCCTGCTAATAGTAGGAATTACTTTGTTATGTGAACATAATTTTTTATTTCTGGTTCATTGTTCTTTTGGAACTTGGGTGGCTATACTGAGAATGTATTGATGAATGTATAAATTCTTAAGTCTTTTTCCTTTGAAACATTGTTAATAATATTTTTTTCTTATTTTTTAATCTTTTTAGCTGGAAGATGAAGCTCTCAAGTACATAGGTGCACACTGCCCTGAACTGGTGACTTTGAACTTACAGACTTGCTTAGTAAGCATCCATTCCTACAATGCTTGTGTTAATAATTCCATTCAGTACTGTTGTTAAGAATTTCAAGACCAGTGACTTTTCCAATACAACCTAAGGGATACAGTAAACACAAAGAGGACTCTTATCTATTTAAGAAAAACTATGTATTCTTTTATATATATTTTTTATTTATTTATATTTTTTAGTTGTAAATGGACACAATACCTTTATTTTACTTACTTATTTTTATGTGGTGCTGAGGATTGAACCCAGTGCCTCACACGTGCTAGGCAAGTGCTCTATCACTGAGATACAATTGCAGCCCCAAAATTATTTATTCTTAAAAGTAAACTTCAGTATTTAAAATTGCAGTAGCACTTTATAACCAATTATTATGTATTAATGAGTTACAAGTATGAGAAAACACTGACCTAAAACTGACAAGCAAGCTGGATGCAGTGGCACAGACCTGTAATCCCAGCTACTCAGGAGGCTGAAGCAAGAGTATTGCAAGTTTGAGTCAGCCTGGACAATATAGTGAGACCCTGTCTTAAAATAAAAAGGGCTGGAGATGTACCTAAGTGATAAGTGCCCCCAGATTCAATATCTAGTACCAGGAAAAAATAAAAAATAAAAGTTGGCAATCAGTATGTACCCTTTAAATAATTTTCAGGTAATGTCTATATTTAGCACTTTGGCTTGTTCAGACTATCAGCCTTTTTGTGTCTACCCCAAAATGCCTAAATTTTACTCAAATAATTGCTGAAACTATTCAGGGACCTAGAATGTTGACAATAATATCTCTTGCCTAAAAAATTACACATCTATGTTACCTTGGAATAGAAGCCTCTCATAGCAAAGAAAGAAGTTGATAAGGGCTTTCCAAGTATGTGCTTCTGCTTGTTATATCCTCTCCTCCACCTGGAACTGGAAAGCATAGTGGTTGTTTTATTTATGTGATGTGTAAAAGACTACTTTTTATGCAGTTTAAGTTACCCACTCTTCCGTCTTTGAGGAATGGTACTGATGATGATCTAGTTAGCTCCTGAAAATCAAATTAAAAGAATGATACCCCTGCCTTGTTTTGTTTTGAGTGAGGTCTTACTATGTTGTTCAAGCGAGTCTTGAACTCCTGAGCCCAAGTGATCTTCCCACCTCATCCTCCCAAATGCTCAGACTAGAGGCATGCACAACCATACCAGCTTTCCTTCTTTTAATTCTGACCATCTTCCTGGAATTCTGACCATCTTCCTTGGGAAGCTGAGGCAGGAGAGTGGCAAGTTTGAAGCCAACTTCAGAAGCTTAATTTTGAATGTTTACCCTGAAAGACTATGCACAACAGTTATAAACATGGTACTATCATTTTAGAGTTCTAGAAGAAAACTGTTGTGACCAAAACATGATTAAAGTACAATCTTTGATTTTTTTTAACCTTTCTTGGCATATTTGGAAACAAAAGTTGGGCCAAGCACAGTGGCTGTGGAGTCTCAGGCAGGAGGATCACAAGTTCAAAGCCAGGCTCAAAAGAGGGTGGAGATATGCCTTAGTGGTTAAGCACCCCTTGGTTCAATACCTAGTAATAGTAATAGTAGTAGTAATAATAATAGTAATAATAATAGTTGGATAAATTTTACTATTTATTTATTACTGGTGATTGATTATTTTTGGTACCAGGGATTGAACTCAACCACTGAGCCACATCCCCAGCCCTATTTTGATTTTATTAGAGATAGGGTCTCACTGAGTTGCTTAGTGCCTCGCCATTGCTGAGGCTGGCTTTGAACTTAGATCCTCCCGTCGCTGGAATTACAGGCGTGTGCAACTGCATCCAGCTCGTAACCACTATTTTAAAATTTTGAGACAGGGTCTCACTAAAGTGCTTAGGGCTTCGTTAAATTATTAGCTTTGAATTTGTGATCCTCCTGCCTCAGCTTCCCAAGTCACTGAGATTACAGTGCCACCACACCTGGCAAATCTTACCATTTTTTTTTAAGTGTCCAGTAATATTTTAAAAAAATTTTTTTTTATGTTTGAGGTTGTAGATGGATAGCATACATTTATTTTATTTGTTCTTTTTTTTTCTTAGATGTTGATGGACCTTTATTTTATTCATTTATTTATGTGTGGTGCTGAGAATCAAACCCAGTGCCTCACACAATCTAGGCAAGTGCTCTACCCCTGAGCCACGACCCCAGCCTTATTTGTTCATTTTTGTGTGGTGCAGAGGATTGAACCCAGTGCCTCACACGTGAGTGCTAGGCAACAGTCTGCTGCTGAGCTACAGCCCCAGCCCCACAAATTTTACTATTTTTAAATTTTTAATTAAGCCAGGTGCAGTGGCACAAGCCTGTAATCGCAGCAGCTTGGGAGGCTGAGGCAGTAGGATGGCAAGGTCAAAGCTATCCTCGGCAACAGCAAGGCACTAAGCAACTCAGTGAGACCCTGTCTCTAAATAAAATACAAAATAGGGCTGGGGATGTGGCTCAGTGGTTGAGTGCCCCTGAGTTCAATCCCCAGTACCAAAAAAAAATTTTTTTTAATTTAATTGAAGTACAGGCAATGTGATTTTCCTCAGTACTGTCCTATAGGCTTTTTCTTTTAAGAGATGGCCTCACTTTGGCTCAGACAATCAATGCTCCTACCTCAATCAGACTCTTGTTTGGCTGAGTCTATGGGCATATACCATTGCATCCAGTGAGACTATAAAACATAAGAAGGAAGAGGCAGCACAATCCTACAATGCTTTTTCTTTTTCTTTTTTTTTTTTTTAAGAGAGAGAGAGAATTTTTTAATATCTATCTCTCTAGTTTTTGGTGGACACAACATCCTTGCTTGTATGTGGTGCTGAGGATCGAACCCAGGCTGCATGCATGCCAGGCGAGCGCGCCACCCCTTGAGCCACATCCCCAGCCCCCAATACTTTTTCTATAATATTGTGTAGCACAAATTTCATTGTCCTGCTGAATCTACATGTTTGATTCCTGTTTATCTAGTAATAACGATGCAACATATCATTTGTGTAGCGCTTTTTTGGGTACTTTCACCCATATGTAGACTTCATTATTTTTTTTAAATCTTTATTTTTATATGGTGCTGAGGATTGAACCCAATGCCTCACACGTGCAAGGCAAGCGCTCTGCCACTGAGCCACAACCCCAGCCCCAGGACCTCATTATTTTATACTGATGACAAATCATGTATTTGCCTGGGCATCTTTTTTTTTTTTTTTCCTTTCTACTAGAGATTGAATCCAGGGATTCTTTACCACTGAACTATATCCCCAACCTTTTTTTGAGACAGGATCTCATTAAGTTGCTTAGGACATGCAATCTTGCCCAAACTGGCCTTAAATTTTCAATCCTCCTGCCCCAGTCTCCCCAGTTGCTTGAATTTTTATTTTTTTATTTTGAGACAGTATCTCACAAAATTGCCTAAGCTGGCCTTGAACTTGGAATCCTCTTGCCTATAGCTTCTGAGTCTCTGAAATTAAAGGCATGTGCCACCAGGCCTAGCAACATCCAGATTTTTTAATCTGTATTTTTTTGTTTGTATGATATTAAGAAGATGCTTATTTAAACAATGGCTATTAAAAGTTGGGTTTTTATTTTTATTACTTGTTGCTATTGTCCTTGCTACTTAACAACATTGCTTGATTAAATAGTGATGGCAGTGGAGCTTTACTTTTAGGCCTATACAGTTAGTGAATCTAGCCAGACAAATTGAAGTGCTGATAAACTCTATTATGTTAGATGTTTATATGTAACTTTTTTATTATGATATCCTTAAATGTGTATTTTTTTTCATTTAAAGTAATTTGAGATAAAATCATTTTAAATAATGTATGATTATATCTGAGTTAAACACAACTATTTGTCTCCATTAATTAGGATGTTCTTTATATTTTAATATTCAAACAGCAAAATGGATGCTGTTTTGAGATAGCAACTATCATCCACAGGTGTTTTGTTTTTGCTTGTTTGTTTTGGGTACTGGGGATTGAACCTAGAGGCATTTTTCTTTTCTTTCAACATCTTTGTTTGTATGTGGTGCTGAGGATCAAACCCGGACCGCACGTATGCCAGGCAAGTGCACTACCGCTTGAGCCACATCCCCAGCCCCATAGGGGCATTTTTCAACTGAGCTATATCCCCAGCATTTGGGGGGTTTTATTTTTATTTTTCCAGGCATTTCATTGTTATTATTATCATTATTATTATTTCATTATTTTTTTTTATCTTTTTGGTACTGGGGATTGAACTCAGGGGCACTCAACCACTGAGCCATATCCCCAGCCCTATTTTTGTATTTTATTTAAAGACAGGGTTCACTGAGTTGCTAAAAGCCTCGCCATTGCTGAGGCTGGCTTTGAACTTACAATCCTCCTGTCTCAGTCTCCCCACCCATCGTGCCCAGCTTGTTTTTCATTTTGAGACAGGATCTCCCTAAGTTACTTGGGTCCTCACTAAGTTACTAAAACTGACCTCAAACTTGCAATCTCCTACCTTAGCCGCCTCCTGTGTCATTGATATTACAAGCCTGTGCCACTATACCCAGCCAGAGTTTTATTTTTTCCTCCAACCAGTTTCAGTTTGAACTTGTAAATAAATATGTTTATACTATTAAAATACTGCAGTTCTTGTCTGTTTTCTAGGTTTTAAAATCATTTAATTGAATTTACCCCATGCTTATTTCCATTCTTATTAAGTTAAAAGAATCCCATTATAGCTTCTTGCCTTTATACCAAAAGCAAACCCAGATTCTCTTGCAACTAAATCAAAAGGAACTAGAAAGAAGAAACAAAGTGTGTTCATTTTCTTTTAGGTTTACGATCTGATTAATATCAAACCTGCCTAGATTTCTTTTTGGTGTTGTTTTCATAGAGATGTTATTTTTCCTTATTTTTCGTCTGCTAAATTACTAATACCTGTGGGTTTTTTTTTCCCCCTTGTTTTTTAGCAAATCACAGATGAAGGTCTCATTACTATTTGCAGAGGGTGCCATAAGTTACAGTCCCTCTGTGCCTCTGGCTGCTCCAACATCACAGATGCTATCCTGAATGCTCTAGGTCAGAACTGCCCTCGACTTAGGTAAACATTTCTTCTCTAGTGCAAAAAAATCAAGGAAAAAGAACAAAAGTCTACTTCTCATTTATTCTTTGGAACTTTGAAATTTTAAGATAGACATTACAAGTCATTGTCCTTTTTGATGCCCACCTACTTGCTTTGTACTTCATTATGTGTAATTGGCATGAACCAAGAAACAGCGGTTCCAAAATTCTACTTGCTATTCATACTAGAAAAGAAAAGAAAAAAAGCATTTATTTCATTTCTTAAGAATGAAATAAGGGGGCTGGGATTGTGGCTCAGTGGTAGCACATTCACCTAGCACATGAGAGGCCCTGGGTTCAATCCTCAGCACCACATAAAAATAAATAAGTAAGTAAGTAGGTAAATGAAATAAGGTGCTGGGTTGTGGCTCAGTGGTAGAGCGCTTGCCTATCATGTGTTAGACACTGGGTTCAATTCTCAGGACCATATGTAAATAAATGAATAAAAAATAAAGGTTCATCAACATCTAAAAACAATGTTTTTAATGAAATAAAGATATTTTCTTTAATTAATGCTTTATATAATTCTTTTCTCAAAGATAATTTTAAAGACTCACTCTCGGGTCATTTATGTTGTAGTTATGATGCCAGGTACATAGCAGACAGTATTCAAAAAGAAGAAACAACTTTACAAGAGGAACTTTTTGTGTTGACAGTCTTTTAGAACAGCCTTATTTTTCTGTGGCTCCTTCTGTTTGCTCATATATGGGATTGGCTGGTTATCTACTAAGAATTCTGTATTAGTATGTAAGAATTAGTACGTAAGAATTCTGTATTAGTATGTAAAATCCATATTGATTTTGTAAAGAGCACATGAGAATCTTGTAATGAATGGAGATGATCCCCGTATACCTTTTTCGTTTTGGTTTTGTTTTAAATATTACCTGTATCATACTTAGAAGTTAAGCATTGTTTTAGGTACTTTCAAATGTTAATTCATTTAATCTTCATAACATCATATAATCAGTATTGTTATCATCACATTGTAAATGAGAAAATCAAGCCCCAAAAAGTTAAGTAACCTGCTCAGGGTGTCACAGCCAGTAAGTGCAGGAGCAAGGATTCAAAGCCAGGCAGTCTGCCTCCAGAGCCCATGAAACTACTTTTCTTACACATAATAATCATTGAAAAGCAATAAAATTTTTAAAAAACTTTTTTAGCTGGTGAACATTTTGCCTTCAGTATCAAAATTCCTTCATAGATGATAGATTCGTTTTGGTCAAAATCAATAATATCAGAAGTCTAAAACAGAGTACTTCTTAGGAGATAGGGAAGTAACCAGACCTCTCTCTAAAATATTAAACACTATCCTTTCCTGTATTAAAGCAAGGGGTATTCAGCTCCATCCTCCCTCTAATGATATAACCTCATTATATCATTAGCCTGGAAAGGCTGTCAAATGTGACCATCACAAAATGTGTTTCAGTTAGTTGCTCTTTCATTGGATACAGCATTCATTTCTACTTTTGATTCCCAAGCCTTTAATTGGTGTTTAGGTTGGTGTGTAACAGTTGCTAAATAGGAGAGTAGCTGCCAGCCCAGCTTCCCTTTTCATTGGGTTCCCTTGGGAGCCTATGGGAGGAAGCAGAAAGCTTTCTAAGTATGGATTTTCATATTTGGGACAGACCTGTAATTAAACAGTCCCTTCATTACATTTTTTAAAAGGTATTGAAATCTGAGTGAACCCACATGTAAAATGGAAAGAAAATCTTATTTCAGTAACAGATTAAATAATATAGAATATTTATCGCCATTTCCTTTGTTTTCTAGGAGCAGGCTGCCCTCTGGGGGTAAGCAGTATGCCATCAAGAAGGCTTTTAATGCATTTTGGCATAACTACAAGCTTCAATTTTATTCCTCTCTGTTCTTTGATTGCATCACCCTGAAATGTGGTATTTATAGGACCACTTTATGATGACTCCACAACAATAAATAGCAAGATCCATATATAGATTGCTTAGCTATTAATGTCTCTCTATATTATGAAATCCTTAGAGAATAATAAATTGTTTTCTTAAATTTTGTTTTAATAAAACCAATTTTTAGGGACCAATAGCTTGACTTCCACTTTTTTGGTGTTTTTTTTTTTTTTTTTTAACAGAATATTAGAAGTGGCAAGATGTTCTCAATTAACAGATGTGGGCTTTACCACTCTAGCCAGAGTAAGTATTTTCTCCAGGTTTCATAGGTTTATTTTCTTATGTTTTGTTGGGTATTTTTATTTCAGAAGAACAAGCACCAAGGGAAATGTAGCATGGCAGAATTAGGTGTGTGAGAAGGGGGCCTTCTTCTGTAGCTAGTCTTCCTGAGCATTCTCATGCTACAGCTACAGACCTGTTGATACCAGTAAGAAAACAAACTGTTCTGGAAATTCAGACATGCACTGGGGAGCATGACACTCCTCCATGAAACTAAAGTTCTCCACAGTTTCATAAGATGATAAATTAAGCAGCTGAAAGAAACTTGTTATTTGATATGTGACTAGTAGGTGAGAGCAGTGTTGAAAGCCTGGTTTTTAAATGGAGAGGCTTTAATTATTTTCTGTATTCTGAAGATTAGACTTATAATGGTTTATAACTCAGTATATAATAATATCATTTAAAATTATACTGACTTTGACCAATGTTATCGAACAAGGGGGAGGTCATTTGCTTTCAGGTAGATCAATGGAGTTGGGTGAAAGCCAGGACACTTAACTAAAGTGAAGCTTGCTTCCTCTCTTCCCAAGAAACAGTTTTTATTGAATTATTTATGTTTGAAAATATCTCTATATTGGCCCAGTGTTACTGTTTGGCACGTTTATTCCCTTGAATGTTTAAGATAATAAATATTTAAATGTGGGATAATTGAGATATTTCACTATGATCAAAGTATAAAATGTGTAATTAATGAAATAAAATAGAAGGTGACACTAGAATGATACCAATTCTGAAAAACTAAGATTTCATCAGTATATTTAATATAAACTTTCAGTTTTCTGGCCTTAAAGTTTTCCCTTGTTTAAAATGGTTGTATTGTATTGTTTGGTTTTATACTTTGTAGAATTGCCATGAGCTTGAAAAGATGGACCTGGAAGAATGTGTTCAGGTAAGATTGTGGATTTATATTCACAAATACAGTGTGATAGAAACTAATTACATAATACGTGCACATCAGAATGTCCATTCCCTACCCTAGTGTAGGACACTGAAATACCTGGCAGCCCTACTGATTCTTCATTTATTGATGTGTCTTCTAGGCACACTAGGCAGAAGTGCTTATGGCATAGGTGTTAAAGAACTATGAAAATACATTCCATCAATCATGTCACCATTAGAAAGGACACCTTTCAGGCCATAAAGCTGTTAAGGTATTTTCTTTTGCCAAGTGTGGTGGTACACTACAGTAGTTCCAACTACTCAAGGGGCAGGAGGATCTCTTGAGCCCAAGAGTTTGTGTCAGCCTGGAAAACATAGCCAAACCACATTTAAAAATAAATAAATAAAGCTGGATGCAGCAACATATACCTGTAATCCCACTGATTCAGGAATATGAGGCATGACAATTCCAAGTTCAAGGGCAGCCAGCCTCAGCAACAATTTAAAAAAAAAAAGATTGGAATGTAGTTCAATGGTAAAAGTGCCCCTGGGTTCAATCCTCAGTATCCCCAAAAATAAAATAAAGAAAGAAAAATACTTTTTAAATTACAGAACAACATTCCCCAGCCCTTTGTTTATTTGTTTGTTTTGTTTTGTTTTTGGAGACTGGGTCTCACTAGATTGCTGAGACTGGCCTCAAATTGGTGATCCTCCTGCCTCAGCTTTCCAAATTGCTGAGATTACAGACATGCACCACAGCATCCAGCCTCTGTTTATCTCTTGTACACACCTGAGTGTCTTCTATGTCCTTTCCAGAGGTAGTCCTTCTCAATGGACCCGCTCCATCCACAATTTCTTAAAGAATTGAAGATGAATTTGAAAAGAAGCACTGATTTGCTTTCATTCCTCTGATAACTAAAAAAAGCCATTCTTCTTCCCTGAATGTACATAGTTTACCCTGATCCTAGCAGTGCCTATCTGCCTCCCTTGGTAACATAACTAACATCCATGTTATCAATTCTGAGTCATAGTGTGCCTTATTAAAATGAGGCCAAATATCAAGCAGGTCAGGTGGTTCTCACCTGTGATCCCAGTGTCTTGGAAGACTGTGGCAGGAATCTACAAAGTTCAAGACCAGCCTCAGCAACTTAGCAAGATCCTGTCTCAAAATTAAAAATAAAAAAGAGCCAGGGAGGGCTGGGGATGTGGCTCAAGCGGTAGCGCGCTCGCTCGCTTCGCATGCATGCGGCCCGGGTTCGATCCTCAGCACCACATACAAACAAAGATGTTGTGTCTGCCAAAAACAAACAAAAAAAAATAAAAATATTAAAAATTTAAAAAAAAGAAAAATAAAAATAAAAAAAAAAAGCCAGGGATAAAGCTCAGTGGTAGAGCAACCCTGGGTTAATTCCCCGATTCTACAAAAATAAATAAATTAATAATAAAAAATAGGCCAAATATCCAAAAATTTGAGGATGCTTTGATTTTAATTTTTTTCTTTTTCATGGAGTACTTTGTTATTTATTTATTTATTTTGTATTGAGGATGGAACCCAGAGGCACTGTACCACTGATCACATCCCCAGCCATTTTATTATTCAAGACAAGGTCTCAGGCCTCATTAAGTTTCTGATGCGGTCTTTGAACTTGGAATTGTCTTGCCTCAGCCTCCTCCTGAGTTGCTGGGATTATAGGCTTGTGCCACTGCACCCAGTTCAGCACTTTCTTCTGATTATTTTCTTTGATGGTTCCAAGAAGTGGATAGAAGTAACAAGGGGACAACATTTCGATTTCACTTCAAAAACAAAACAGAATTTTGAGCAAAAATATCCAAAGATGAAGACTAGAGCCAGATGCAGTGGATCACCCCTATAATACAGGCTACTCAGGAAACACCCAGGATTGCAAATTCAAGGTCAGCCTGGACAACATAGCAAGATCCTTTCTCAAAATAAAATTTTCAAAAGACTAGAAATACAGTAAGAATGAAGTATAACCTGTAGTTTTATTTAGAATTATGCCTAAAATAAACATGTGTTTCTTTCAGATAACAGATAGCACATTAATCCAACTTTCTATACACTGTCCTCGACTTCAAGTATTGGTGAGTTTGACTTTCAAGGTTGTATATGTTTGTTTGGCTTAATCAAAACAGTACTGCCAGGCGTGGTGGCTCACGCCTGTAATCCCAGCAGCTTGGGAGACTGAGGTGTCAAATCCAGCCTCAGCAAAATCAAGGCAGTAAGCAACTCAGTGAGACCCTGTCTCTGAATAAAATACAAAAAAGGGCTGGGGGTGTGTGGCTCAGTGGTTGAGTGCCCCTGAGTTCAATCCCTGGTACTCCCTACCCCAACAACAACAAAAAGCAGTACTGTAGTTCTAGTTAAATAAGATCCAGCTCTTGTTTTCCTCTTAACTGTCTGGCTACCAGTTTTTGGTATGGGAGTATGCTTCTCAAAATTGCCAACTTCCAAAAGATCTAGGAAAGACCTAAAAAGTAAAATGGGGACCAATCAGGCTTTACAGGGGAAGTTCTCTTTGGTACTACTTTGAGGAAGGGATTTTGGTTGATCCTATCCAGGCTCATTGTGGTGTATTTGGTCGAAAGGTAATATCCAAAATTGGGCCAAGGATTCCAAGTCTCTCAGATTCAGAAACCTAAGGAAAATTGAAGAGTTACATGTGAGATGTAAAAATTGTCTTCAGCTAATTTATTGTTGGGTCATACCCCTGCACTTGATATTCAATTTTTATTTCAGGAAATTTTGTATATGAAAAGTTTGATCTCTGCTTATCCCCCTAGAGAAGAAAAGTGTTAATTTGGGTAGAGGGTAATTTTTAAAGTTATGTAACTTTGTTTATGAAGTAGTTCATGGTCATTAAGTGAATTTACAAAATATGTTTAGAATCACACACAAAAATATCAGTCATTGGTTGCCAAAAGCAGAACCCATGCAACTCTATTTTGCATTCTTTATTTCATCACACATGGATCTAGTGAAAGTTCCATAATCATCAAAATCAAACCAAAAAGGTCTTCTATCTGATTGTACACAAGTTTCTGGCTAACCGACTTCCGGAAAATATTTCAGCATCTTTCTTTGCTCTATTTGGCCACAGAGTCTATCTCACTGTGAACTGATCACAGATGATGGAATTCGTCACCTAGGAAATGGGGCCTGCGCCCATGACCAGCTGGAGGTGATTGAGCTGGACAACTGCCCACTAATCACAGATGCATCCTTGGAGCACTTGAAGAGCTGTCACAGCCTTGAGCGGATAGAACTATATGACTGCCAGCAAATCACACGGGCTGGAATCAAGAGACTCAGGGTAAAAATGGCTTCATCACTCTCCAGCTCTGGTGTTCTCACCACCCTTTCTTTTATTTTCCTTCATTTTCTTTTCTTTTTATTTTTCCAAATTTAGATTCTCCTGATTTTTATATTTATTTGGACATTTAGTAAGGAGGAAAAAAAATGGAGAGAAAATGTAAGGGTAGATAGTTTTTACCTGTGGCTCCAGATGGAAATTTAGTAGAACAATACCCACTGAAGAGATAAAGTAGGTCTTCTCCCAGCAGTTTGTCCAGTAATGTCCAGAGCTTAATCACATCCCCAGAGTCAAAAAAAAAAAAAAAGAAGAAGCACATACCAGATTTTGGTTCTAAAGGAAAGGAAAAAACTAATATAAAATGTTTGATTAAATAATAAGATTTATAAATTCAGCCTGTTTTTCCTCTTTACATCAAACCCTTTTTCTGATTTTTGTTTTTTAATTTATTTAAGTACTGGGGATTGAACCCAGCAGCATTTTGCCATTCAAATGTATCCTCAGTCCTTTTTTTTTTTCATTTTGAACCCTGAGACAAGTCTCTGGAATTACAGGCATGATCCATCACACCTATGTTCTCCAGTTTTGTTAAAAACAGTTATCAAACTCAGTGGAAAGGTGTCTGATTCTGTGAAGAGTGTGAACAATGGTATTCTTAGAGAGAATTTTTTTAATATTTATTTTTTAATTTTCAGTGGACACAACATCTTTATTTTATTTTTATGTGGTGCTGAGAATCGAACCTGGGTCATGCCCGTTCTAGGGGAGCGCTCTACCGCTGAGCCATAATCCCAGCCTGTGATCAGTGGTATTCTGATACCTAAGTGAGCAGTTGCCACAATACCCTTGGCATCAGAATTTGCCAGTTGAGAATAAATGTGACCTTAAACGCCCAAGCTAGAAAGCAGGCAGGCATGGAAGTGAAGGCCTGAGGCACACAGCAGGCACTCTGCCTCCCCATGGCTGCTGACCAACCACAGAGCAAAAGCAGTCGGCCCCTGTCTCCTGCTAATAAAATGGTGACAATTTAAAAAAAAAAAAGTATCAAAGTTATGAGTTGAGCTAAGCATAGTGGTACACACCTGTAATCCCAGGAATTTGGGAGGCTGAGGCAGGAGGACTGCAAGTTCAAAGGCAGCCTTGGCAATTTAGTGAGGCCCTGAGCAACTTAGCAAGACTCTGTCTCAAAATTTAAAATAAAATGGGCTGGGAATGTGCCTCAGTGGTTAAGTACCCTTGGGTTCAATTTCTGGTACCAAAAAAAGAAGTTATGAGTTGACTTGATTATTTAGAACAGCATAGAAGGGGACAAATCTTCTGCCCTGCTTTCATGTCCATTCAGCCCCTCAGTGGTTTTTCTCGGAAGCAATGTTCTCTATCTTAGTAATGTTTTTGTCTTGTTTCAGACCCATTTACCCAATATTAAAGTCCATGCCTACTTCGCACCTGTCACTCCACCCCCATCAGTAGGGGGCAGCAGACAGCGCTTCTGCAGATGCTGCATCATCCTATGACAATGGAGGTGGTCAACTTTGGTGAACTGAATATTTAACTGACACTTCTAGAGTTACCGTGGAGTCTCTCCAGAGGAAGCAACCCGTGTTCTGGACAAGGATTACAAAGTGAGGGCAGTGTTCAGATCCCCAGAGCCACACATACATATGCATACACACCCTTACTCCCATCCACTCTAGCTCTGTGACCATGGGACTAAAATTTGTGCTGGCTTTAAGTGGATTGGTAAAACTTAACCATTTCTGTTGGACATGCCCGGAAGAAAATCATAGGCCAAGGTAGAGGGAGGGGGCATTCCAGCAAACCCATTGTTACTGCTACTGTGGTTTCTTTATTTTGTTAAGGGGTTTCTTTGGGGATTTTGGAACAGTAACTACAGTCCTTCAGGGTCAAGGGAAGCATGGAAAAACAACAAATGATGTATCCAGGGACCAGAAAGAAAATTTATTTGCATCCTAGAAATGGTAGCCATCCATTTTAAGATGACTACAGAGCTTCTGTGCTTCCTGTTTCTATGCCAACATGCTGAGCATGCTCACAAAGAAGGCTTGTCCATTCCTGCCGTGTTTTAGTATTTGGCCCAGGGGTTTCCTAAATGGCTACATTGAAATCACTGTGGTCCAAATATGATTACTTATTCACTCAAATTGTCACTATCTGTATCACACTTATGCATCTGTCTTCCTTTCTCCCTTCCTCCTTCCTGCACTTTTGCTCAGTCTGTCATACCTGTTCATAGTCTGTCTACTCACACTCAACTGTTACTCTTTTGTGTTTACAGTTTGCATTTTGAATGATTAGTTGGGGTTATCAAACATTTTTGGAAAAAAAAAACATCAATAAATATTTTTTTAATTCTAAATTTTACCATTAGGGGACCCTGCCTGAATCTTTGCCAGTCTGAAGGGAAATCTTAACACAAGTAAGAAAAGTTATGAGAAGAAATCAAGCTAAACCTATTTTGATGAAAACAAACTTTGCCTTTTCGTTTCTGTTTTATCTTACGATACATGATAATTTGCATGATATCCCCAGTATTCCCTTTGCAAATTTTTTGTCAAACTCCACTAACTTATTAGAGAAATGCAGTTAGTGAAGAGTAGATGGCAGATCCCAAAACAGCCTGAAAGTACCAACCAACCAAGCTCAGACGTTAACGATTAACATTATCATATGTTCACTGAATCTGGGCATGATTACCTAACTTGTGTCTGAGAGGTTATTTTGTTTATCAGGAATGCTGCTAGAGGATCTGTGCAGACTAGCCAGTCAGTTTCTTTTTTCCCCCATCATAGCTCATCAGGAATGTAAGAATGGCCATATAACATCATTGTTAACAGGGTAAGTAGCCAAGTAAAGGCATTGGAGCAGCTGAAAGAACACCCTGAGAGGAAGTAGAGTTTAATGTCTGTCCAGGCACCAGAGCTGAAGGAAGGAGTTCAGAACCCATGATTCAAAGTCCAAAAAAAAGTCTCCCCCCCAAAGAAAATCATAGAGGATGAGGGAAATTTTCAGAAGATTTCTGAACCCCAAGGTTAGAAAGCTTATGTAATTTTTTTAATAGGGTGATTTGGGGCAAGGGATCTTTTAAGACATTGATGTGCAATCCACTATGATATTAGATCATCTTTTGAATGATCCTTATTATTAAAAGCCTTTTTTTTAAATGCCGAAGGTACTAGTTCTACCAGCATATATAAGAAAAAGTCTGATTTATTTATCCCATTGATGTAGAAAATGATCAAATGAAAGGGTCCACATTAAATGTATTTTACCACATTAAATATATTTTAAATCCTATTTTATTATGCCCTTTTAAAAGTTCAGATTATTTTTTCCATTTCTCCTTATCTTCTTTTCAAATTATAAGGAATATTTATTCTCTTTCTCTCTCCCTCCCTCCCTCCCTCCCCGCCTCCCCGCCTGTCTCTCTGTCTCCCCACCACCACCTCCCTTTCTCTCCCTCTTGTTTTTTTGAGATGGGGGTCTCACTATGTTACCCAGGCCGATTGTGAACTCCTGGGTTTAAATGATCCTCCCAAGGAGCTGGGCCTATGGGCTCACACCACTGCATCTAGCAGGAATATATCTTTTTAATTTATTTTTGTTATTATTTTTGTATGTGACTGGGGATTGAACCCAGGGAGGTTTTACCACTAAATATATCCTCAGCCCTCTTTTTGTTTTTTTTAAGACAATCTCACTAAGTTGCCTAGGCTGGCCTTGAACTTGTGATCCTCCTGCCTTAGCCTATTGAGTTACTGAGATTAAAGGAGTGGACTTCCGTGCCTCACAGGAATATATATTTTAGAAACCCACTCTCCTGGATGTATGCCACACATACAAATACATATATGCATACATACACTTCCAGATGTGGTTAATAATATTCAGATCCTCAGGTCGCCTGTTCAAAGAGAACTAAAAGAGAGAAATATTTACAGGCCATCTGCTCTAAAGTATGGCTATTTTTTTTAATGCCTGAGCAAACTGACAATAAAACCTAGATCAGACAGTAAATATAGATTTGAATTGCCTGAGTTGAGACTATTAACTTCTTTACTTAAAAGTTTCAGCAACCCTATTATTCACTGGTATATCAAAAGTCTTGAAAATGCTGTTTCTCTCCGCAAAGGGTGTACCCATGTGCAGGTTCTAGGCTTGCATTGGTGTTACCTGCTATGAAGTCAAATTTCAGCCCATCTGAGCCAAAAACAAGTCAAGTGAAAGAGAACAAAAGTCCAAGGGGGTATGACTTATGGTCAGGCAAGAGCCTTGTTCTTTCTCAGGAAGCTTCAGGCCCATCAAGCTTGGAAGAAAATACACATTATTTATGCTAATTTACACCTACACCAGATGATGAATATGCTAGGATTACATGGTAAGTTTGGTCATGTGGGAAAGGTCCTGACATCAGAATGTTTCCTGTTTCAGCCTTTGGAATACTTTTTTTTTTTTTCCTTGTGGTACTGGTACTGGAGCTTGAACCCAGGGCTTTATGTATGCTAGTATGCTAGGCAAGCATTCTACCACTAAGCTAAACCCAGAGGCACTTAACCACCAAGCTACATCCCCCAGCCTTTTTTATTTTTTTGAGATAGGGTCTCATTAGGTTGCTTAGGGCCTCACTAAGTTACTGAGGCTGGCTTTGAACTTGTGATCCTCCTGCCTCAGCCTCCCAAGTTGCTGGGATTACAGGCATGCATAACCACACCCAGCTCTGAAATGGTTTTGAGAATTCAGAAAAGCTTCACGTGGGAAAAATTTTCCTTAGGAACACCTTATTGGTCCATTGGTCTTATTTCATAGCCACTCTCAAATATGTCTTTTATAATGAAAAAATACAGAGTAAACAGAAGAGATTTAGAATAAGTAAAAAGCTTCCCTTAAAGCTGTTCCTGTGAAGCTGTGGGCGAGCAAGAAGAAATTATTGAAGTGTCTCTGGAGAAAGTTCTTGAGTATACGGATCATTTACTTTTTACAGCCTTCTCATAGTTTTATCCATTTCATTTTCTAGCAGAGTTTGCTACATCAATATTTTTACATTGCGTTCATCAGCCCCATTGAGGTGATTTCAGGGTGTTTTTTTGTTTGTTTTTTTTTTTACTGATATCACCTTATCCTTCCCACACCTATCCTGACCCTCTATTTAAAGCCTCCATCTCACCCTCAATAATGCTGCTGATTTATTCTCAGATGTCTCCAGTGTAGCTGCTTCTTTGAGTTCTTGTCCTGATTCAGGTAAACCATTGAGGACAGCCTTGAATTTAGTAGCTGTCAGGTGGCTTGAACCATTTTTCATTGAATGTGCTTTGATGTTTGCTTACTGAATTTTAATTGAGTTTAAAATCAAACTGTTGTATATGAGAAATAAGGGGATCTGACTTGGATTTTCCAATATTTGGAATGCAAAAGCACATTGTGCTTTGTGTTAAAAATGTTTTCTCCTTTTACTAGATGTAAAAGTATTCCATAAATTGTTTTTGTAAATTTCCAGTCTTATTTCCACATCCATTAAGTTGATTTAGCAGACATAAGTCAGAAATTTCACATATCCCTTGTATTAAATACTTTAGAGGGAAACTTGGTGAATAATTTTATGATGCTTTTTTTGTGTGTGGCTTTCTAGACTTATTTGAATTGTGCAATATAGCCATAATGCTACAGTGACCCATCTCTTATTACCTTGTAAAGTGTATTATTGGTCTGATAGCCTACTGATGCCATAACAACAACATAAGCAACAACATAAGCAGTGGAATCTGCCTTGGCTTGAAGTTTTTAGGAAGTGTGAGAGTAGTAACTGAAGAGGGTGATTTATTTCCTTCCTGTGAGGGCAGCATATCCTTCTAGGTGGCAGTGTTGTTGGGAAAAGAACACTCGTGGGTCATGATCAGTCCTTGGACATGATCGGTCGGTCCTTGGACATAGAGTGTTTATTGCACTTTAGTCCTCACAGGCTGCTCATACCAGTTGCCACAGTGAGAGAAAGGGTCTAAAGGAAAGTGCCCTCCTTATGGTGCCTCCTGTCTGACAGACTCTTTGATTGGTATACTCTGAGCTCTGGAGCATTTTACAGAAAGATTCCTCCTCTTTCTGCCTGCCAGTTCCAGGTTTTCAAACACCACAACCCCAAGCAATGTAAGTTAGCCAAGTCTCCTGTGAGAGGAAGTATAGAATGGTTGGTTGAAAGTCTTGAGGCAGAATCCCTAACCCTCTTAGATCTTGAACCAAAGAAATCTAAAACAGTAGGAGGTTGAGGAGAAAACAGAGTCAGTCTCAGTTTCTCCTTACCTTTATTTCTATCATAAATTTTAATTGAAAGAGAAAGCTGATGAACTTGTCAATAGCATATAATTGACCCAAGTAATCTGAGAATAAAATGTGACTGTAATAGTTTTAGCCAAATTTCCTAACTTAACATCTTTATTCTCCAGCAAAGAGAATAGACCACTTAAGCACCAGTTGCTCTAACCTTGCCTTCTTTCTTGGGATAAATTTTTCCCTGCCAAAAACTACCATATGAGGCAGATGTTTTATATGAAGGTATTCTGCAGCTTGTCTTTTTTTTTTTTTTTTCCTTTTAAGATAGGGTCTTGCTAGACTCCCAAGATGCTTGGTTTATAGGCATGTGCCATCACACCTGGCTTCCACTTTTATTCCTAGGAATATTGATTCTGTGCCTCTGAAGCTTTTTGATTATTAGGAAAGTCAGTATGAAATCTCTCAGCTGAGTCTGAGGGAACCTTAGGAATCCCAAGAGAATTACAATTAATTTTCAGGAAAAAGTTTTTTGGACAAACTTACATGTGAAATGCTAGAAAATGTCCATCTCTGTTTCACATGCTATTTGCTTAAGCCATTATAGAGTTCAGTTGACAGATGTTGAGTCTCAGTGTTTGCTCAGCCAGAGTAGTTTATTGCCCTTTTAGGGAAAACCATGAGCAAGTAAACCTTTTTATTTTGTGTGTTTTCGAGTGTCTAATTTTGAAAAATTGGCATGGGGAAATGGTATGTGAGGCTCAAAAGAAAGGAACAAATCAGTTCTAAAACTGAGGTCCTTTGCCTCAAGGTCAACATCTGTCCTGAGCACATAACCACAGCTGCCTCACACCTGAGGAGGTTTACTTTCCTCTTTGTATGAGGAACTCCATGTCCTTGACTGGCAATTCGGGCTTCTTTTCTACATCTCTAACCAGATCATCTAGATGGAGATTGGCACCCCTGGAAGAACCACCAGGGCTTCCCAGCTGCTTCTGGGCATGGCTTTAGTACCAGGACAAGAGCATGTAAGCAGTCAACTAGAATTCTAACCCGAAGAAGAGATGGCAGAAATGAGGTGTCCAGGCATGTACTTCTCTTCTGCCATGCCCTCCACCCCCCTGCAAACAGGGAAATATTTGAAGTAATGTATTTATTTTTTGTTGTTGTTGTTACTGTGGAAAAAGAAAACATTGCCCCACTTACTACTTACTCTTATTAATTCAGATCTATGCCACACTGCTGCTCACACATGTTTCTTAGCCTAACCCTTCTCAGCTCCTGAAGTTATTAATTTACTCTTTTTTTTTTTTCTTCTTTTATGGCACAAGAGAATGAGAACCTAAAGACAGAAAATCCTAACTTGAAAAAAAGTCTTTAACTGGTATGGTTTGGTTAATTACTTTATCTCTATCCAAGTCAAATGATTTTCTTTCTTAGTGCTACATAATCTTTAATAAGTGAAACCTTTGCTGCTACTTTCCTGGGTTTACATCAAGTTCTTCCCTTCTCTTAAGAATAGTTTCTTATCTGTACTTCTCTGGTGACTGTTAATTTCTAATGAGTACAAAAAGGGGTGAGCCTGTGAGTTCTTCTCCTACTCCCCTTCCCACCCCCACATCACACACTAATTCTTACTCCCGGAGCCTGTTGGCACATGTACAAGAACCATGGGACCAGGCTCACCAGAAACTTTCCATGTTTTCCTCATCATGCTGCAGCCCAAGAGCTGACCCCCAAGGATCTGTGACTACCCACTGCAGAGGGTTACTGTATAGGGGGAGAGGCTTCTTAATTTTGCCTTTCTCCACTCTTGTTTTATCACTCAGCCTTCAGATGCTTCCCACTCTGGCCTCCTCCCTTTTCCTTCTAGGAATTGTTTCCAGTTAACCTGCTGCCTACATTTTCCAGCTGCTCTGCTCACCTTTGCCCACCTTCCAGTGACCCTGAGAGCACAGACCTGAGTGACGTGGCCTGTGCAGAACTCAGAGAACTGTGAGGACTACCCATGCCTGTCAGACTCTGCTGTGAACAGAGATGGATGGGTAAATGTTGCTGTTGGAGAAATTCTTACTTTCAAACCAGGCTGTCTGATCCCTGCATCCCATCCAACTCCCCCTAAGAGATGAAATGCAGAGTGGGTGGAGTACAGGGTCTGGTCCCTGCCCCCGTAGCCACTCAGCCTGTTCAGGAGTGCTTCAGTGTGTGGGAATTGCTGCTTGTTCCCACTGGCCCCACAGTCCCTACATGGTGACTTAACACCAGGTTCCATTAGCTGTCCAAGTGACTGGATTTCCACTCAATATTTTTGGCACTTGAGGATGGGGGGAGGGGGAGTTATTTAAAATAAATAAAATCCAAGGTGGCAGTAGAGGATTTCTTTTGCTTTAAAATCTTTGGACTAAAAAAAGAAATGTTTTTATATATAAATATATAAATTGTTATGTAACTATTATTGTTTTCTGTATGTTCTAATTTTGTTTTATGATGTAATTAAAGGAAATAAGCTGTGAAGACTTTTCATTTTCCTATGGAAATAGTCTGACTTGGAGCTGTGATTCCTAACTTCCTTGAACTGTAGAACTACAAAGGCACCTAAGGCTGAAAGACTTCTCTTTGGCAGCCTATCTTTTTTTAATACCCTTTACTAGCCTTTCTTTCTTTCTTTCTTTTTTTAGACAGGGCCTATTAAGTTGCCCAGGCTGACCTCATACTCCTGCCTCAACCTCCCCAGTAGATAAAATTATAGACACATGCCATCACGCCCAGCTACTATAACCTTTATTTAATATTTATTTATGCCTTTCATAACCTCTTTTAATACTCTTAATAGCCATTTATTTAATACCCCAAACAATTCTTGTCTTCAAAAAAACATGAAAGACATAAATTAGAGTTGCCTTAATTAATTTCATAGTTAAAATTCAGCCTGAGTCTTTTATCTCTATGCAGAGCATTCATGCCCTTACTTTGACTACAGAGGGGTAAAGATGGAGTACTACAGTGATTAAACACAAGGTCAGAAGTCAGACTGCCCAAATTCAAAGCTATACCACTTGCTGCCACTGTGAATTCAGTTAACCCCCCTGTCTCTGCTCAGCTCTTCATTGGTAAGATGGGGATAACAGTATCTACTGCATGGAGTTTTTTTGTTTGTTGGTTTGTTTGTTTGTTTTATTTTTTTAGTTATCGGCAGACACAACATCTTTTGTTTGTATGTGGTGCTGAGGATCGGACCCGGGCCGCACGCATGACAGGCGAGCGCGCTACCACTTGAGCCACATCCCCAGCCCCCTGCATGGAGTTTTGAAGATGAAATATCATGTTATTTACAATGACATGAAAAACTTTTTTTACATACTGGGGATTGAACCCAGCGGTGCTTTATCACTGAGCTACATCTCCAGCCCTTTTTATTTTGAGACAAAGTCTTGCTAAATTGCTGAAGGCCTTGCTAAATTACTGAGACTGACCTCAAACTTGGCAGCCTCCTGCCTCATCCCCCTGAGTTGCTGGGATTATAGGCATGTACCACTGTGCCAGTGACATGGAAGACTCTTGAAAAGCCCTGTGGATCCTGTATAAAAGTTAGAGACCATCTGGGTCCAACATAGGCCCTTTGAGGAATGTAAGCAGAGGTCCATATTAACTGAGTCAGCTCTAAATTTTTTTTTTTTTTTTTTAATACTGAGGATTGAACCCAGGGGTGCTCAACCACTGAGCCACATTCCCAGCCCTTTCTTATATTGTTTAGAGACAGGGACTCACTGAGTTGCTAAGTGCCTCACTAAGTTGAGGAGGCTGGCTTTGAACTTGCGGTCCTCCTGCCTCAGACTCCCAAGCTGCTGAGATTACAGGTGTGCGCCACCCGGCAGCCCTGAATTTTTTGAAGGAAGCACTTTCTAGGCCTTGTACAGGTTAAACAGACCTCCCTTTCCACTTCCTATCCTGTCCAGAGGCCACCTGGTTTAAGATTCACCAAAGATGATTGGTAAATCACAACTGAGGTAAATTATCAGTGAGTAATTGTGCATATATGTTTAAGAGAACACCTTGTCTTCTACTCAAAGTTCATATTAGGTTTTCACTGTTCTGTAGATTTGAAGATTTTCACTATAAAACTTGGAGTAGGATGGAAAAAAATATAATCCAATATCATTTATCTTTTGAGAATGCATTTATCTCTGGGCACAGTGGCATACATCTGTAATCCCAGCAATTTGGGAGGCTGAGACAGGAGGATTGCAGGTTCAAAGCCAGTCTCAACAATTTAGGAAGACCCTGTCAAAAAATAAAGAAAGCACTTATTTAAGGTAAGATTGGTTTTCTGTAATGGAAAAGAATAGGTCCCCACTTGACAGGATATCCCAAAATTAATTTCAGGTGAAGTATAGACATGAAAAGGCAAATTAATTTAGCTGGTTGTGGTGGTGGTTCATTCCTATAATCCAGTGACTCAAGAGACTGAGACAGGTGAATTGAAAGTTCCAGGCCAGTCTCAGCAATTTAGTGATATCCTGTCTCAAAATAAAAAGTGGGGGTGGGTGCTGGTGGGGAGGGATAGGGGCTTGGGGTGCAGATAGATGGTAGAGTACCCCCTGGGTTAAATCCTCAGTACCACAAACAAACCTGAAGTTTTAATTTAAAAATATGCATAGGAGGGACTAGGGGTGTGAGCTTGGTGGTAGAACACTTACCTTGCATGCACAAGGCCCTATGTTTAATCCCCAACATTCCAAATACAAACTATAAGAAATTGTATTTTATGACTTTAATATAGGAAAAGATTTTTTAATTGATTTTATTTTTTAAATACGTGACAGCAGAATGCATTACAATTCTTAAAACCCATACAGAGCACAATTTTTCATATCTGTGTAAAAAGTATGTTCACACCAATTCATGTCTTCATACATGTACTTTGGATAATGATGTTCATCATACATTGCTGGTGGGACTGCAAATTGGTGCAGCCAATATGGAAAGCAGTATGGAGATTCCTTAGAAAACTGAGAATGGAACCACCATTTAACCCAGCTATTCCTCTCCTGGGTCTTAAAAACAGCATACTACACGGACACAGCCACTTCAATGTTTATAGCAGAACAATTCACAATAGCTAAACTGTGGAACCAACCTAGATGCCCTTCAGTAGATGAATGGATAAAGAAAATGTGGCATATATACACAATGGAATTTTACTCAGCAATAAAAGAATAAAATCATGGTATTTGCAGGTAAATGGATGGAGTTGGAGAAGATAATGCTAAGTTAGCCAATCCCAAAAAAACAAATGCTGAATGTTTTTCTCTGATATAAAAAAGATTTCTTAATGGCCTAAAAAAAAAAAAAAAAACAGATTAGAGCTGAACTTAGCACTGGTGGCACCCACCTGTAATCCCAGCAGCTAAGGAGGCTGAAGAAGGATTGTGAATTCAAAACCAGTCTCAGCAATTTAGCAAGGATTTAGGCAAATTAGCAAGGCCCTGTCTCTAAATAAAACGTGGGGTTTTGGCTCAGTGGTTAAGTACCCCTGGGTTCCATCTTGGGTATCAAAAAGAAAGGATTAGCCAGGCAGGGTGGTGAAGGCCTATAATCCCAGCAGCTCCAGAGACTGAGGAGGATCATGCGTTCAAAGCCAGCCTCAGCAAAGGCAAGGCACTAACCAACTCAGACCCTGTCTCTAAATAAAATACAAAATAGGGCTGGGGATGTGGCTCAGTGGACAGGTGTCCCTGAGTTCGATCCCTGGTACCAAAAAAAAAAAACAGCCCCATACAACTTAGTGGTAGAGAACAGTTATGGTATTTCCCAAATCCTTAGAACTATGGTTTGTTTGTTTTTTAAGAGAGAGAGAGAGAATTTTTAATATTTATTTTTTAGTTTTTGGCGGACACAACATCTTTTTTGTATGTGGTACTGAGGATCAAACCCGGGCCGCACGCATGCCAGGCGAGCGTGATACCGCTTGAGCCACATCCCCAGCCTAGAACTATGGTTTTAAATTACAGTGATTTGAATGTTAAATTATCTGATCTGGAGGCTTTAGTATTGGTTTTTACCTAAACCAATTGGAAGGAGAATGAATCCAGCTGGATTTATTTTTTCTTTATCCCAGACCATATCCCTTGCTCTAATTATAGTTTAAGCAAAAGGTTTTTCCCCTTAAGGACCCTAAACCAAGAAAATTGACAGGTTAAACATACCTTTGTTTATTTTTTCCAGTACTGGGGATCAAACCCAGGGCCTCATGCATGCCAGGCAAGTGCTCTGCCACAAGCCACATTCCTAACCCAAACATATATACCTTTGAAATTTCTTATTTATTTATTTATTTTTAGTTGTAGTTAGACACAATACCTTTATTTCACTTATTTATTTTTACGTGGTGCTGAGAATAAAACCCAGTGCCTCATGCATGCTAGGCAAGCGCGCTACCACTTGAGCCACATCCCCAGCTCTGCTTTGAAATTTTTAATTTTAAACTTTTATAATAAAAGAGATGGGTGAGTAAAATTTTAAACATAGATTAACAATGTTCAGCAGTCAACACTGCTCAGGGCGAAAAGTACCTTGCCAGGGGTTTTTTTGTTTTGCCTCTCATTTGACCAGCTCAGAAGGTGAGCAAGGGAAGCTTGTCCAGGGTTCCAACTATTGCTTCTGAGCAGAAAGAAGTGTAAGGCTAGAGACTATGTGCCTCCTTCCAGGATGAATTAAGTGTTCTAACAACCCCACTTCAAATTCACTTCCTAGCCTCCCTTTTCTGCAACACTGCCAAGCTAGGAAGCATGTAAGGCAGGCATTTGAATGACCAGATCACAAGCGGACTGGTCAGAGCTGTGATACCAGGTTATGTCCAGCAAACACATTCCCATCTGCCTGGTATGATTGTTGGGGAGTGGGTGGAGAAGATTGGGGCCTTACCACTCCCTCTGATCTCACTTAAGAGAATATGTGCTTAACAGTCTTCTCACTCTAAGACACTCCTCTCCCTTTTGACCCCTTCCTTTCTTCACTACAGGGACAAAAATATGACTCATCCTTAAGCTTCTGAACCACCTATAAGGAAGACACTATCTTTAGAACCAAACAGATTAAACTAGGGAAGAATTAAAGGAAGCTGGGCGAGAGGCAGAGGAATGAACAATGGCCACATTGGGACTTGTGGCAGAGACCTGCTCTTTTACCTGGTTGCTGAGGAGAATAAGAATGTCCCCAGGGCCCTGGTGGATCTGAAGGGCTGGGAGAGCCAAGAACTTATCCAGCTTCCCCATCAGCTCCACAGCACTGGATTTATCCAGAGAGATCTCTTGTTAAAAGCTTGGGGGGCAAGCAGCACAGAAGTGGGATTGTTGGGGATGTGGGCACATAGACCATCCTAGAGGGGACTGGGCTTGACAGGAAGATGGCTACCCGCGGAGGAAGGAAGAGCCATGGAGACAGCTTTATGTAGTAGAGGAGTTCTCAGTTTAAAGAAACAGGAGTGACTAAACGCCAGATACCATAAGGTTATG